TTCTAAAACTAATAATCTATTGAAAGATTGGAAATACATTAGGGAGTTATTACTGCGGGTTTGCGTTTATGGAGACGAAGCGACTAACAATCACGCACACAAACGCGACAATGTTATTCTAAATCGTGACGCAAGTGAATTACTTGCGCTGGTAAAGTTGCGTAGAACGGTGCTCTTGACTATTTTTACATTGTGGTTCAATATTAAAATAGATTAAAATAGAATTAAAAAATTCTGTCTCCGGTTACTTCGATACAGTTCTGCAACGTAAACTGTAAGTCAATATTATTTGGTATTAATTTTTTGAAATGTGTTTCTATGCTCATGTCAATGGCGCAGTAAAATAAATTTATATTTAACAGCATTTATAGAACAACAAGAGCAGAGCAAGTGTCATGTCCACACATATTAGTAGTTATTACACTTGAGCGTCGAATAAAGCCTTTTCTCAGTTACATATATGATAATAATTTATCACAGTCCTATTACCAACTTTATCTTGTGTGTGTATCAGTCAATCCACCACCAGGTGATGTTGTCTGATTGTAAGTTACGCCTAAACATTTTGTGCAGCTTAAAGGTTACCAATCAATAGCAATTTCATTGAGCTGAAGATGGTATCACACCTTTGCACAGAGATGTCGCTTTGCAGATCTATGACTGGATCTGCAAATCTCCAATTGACATTTTTGCAAATGTAATGCGTCAGAAAGCAGTGTTCTTCATTTCCTACCATCATCACGATAAAAACTTCTAGGTTCGATTGTATGAGACGCAAGTAACACGATCTCTTCTTGCTTGGTCGCCTTAGCGCGCGCGTCTGTTTGCCCGACTGCTCTCACGCACACGCGCACGTCGGCAAACAAGCGCACACGACACAATATTTGGACATTTTAGAAACTTGAATTTCCATTCGTTAGAAGCACGTAGAGCTGACAAATTTACTTTTGCGGACGACCTGCCATCTATTTCGGCTTCCATATGCCGTCTGAGAAGGTATTTCGTGTCTTTAAGACGAGCCTAATTTCGTACGAAGATAGGAGATAATTTTGTTCGCCACTGTTGTGGCTATATTGAAAATATGCGACAAAAATAATACTCCTTATGCGGCACGCAATAAGGTCCGTGGCAGTGGAGTGGAATGTCCATTAAAATATCGTTATTTGGTTTCTAATCGAGCCTTCTCAGTCGAATGGTTTCGCTTAAGGCTGCCAAATTGGTGGAGATGCATTAGCGTTGCCTCCCGCCCCTTCTTCAAATATGTGTTGTCCGCATAACTACCGAAAAGAACCTTTCAATTTGTTGCGACACGCGACGACAGATTTTTAATGTAAACAAAGTTTAGGAAGATATATAGGGTACTTCTATGTGCTATCGTCAGTGGCAGTTTAGATTTTAATCTACGTTAATCAACGTTAATATTATTTTTAATTGGTACTTCAATTTCAGAAGTGGTTAGTTAATATAAGACTGTGTTTGGTTAAAACCAAAGCACCCATGTTCTGTTGCAATATTATAATAATAAGATATATTAAAACTTGTAGAAAAAGTAAGGAAGTAAAAGTAAGTAAGTAAGGCGGTGAATTTTAAACAAATATAAAAATAAATAAAAATAGTTCGTGTAATCGACACAGATTGACATTGAAATCAAATGAGAAATAGGCCTTGAAAAAGGCTAAAAGAGACAGGTTTCTGGTCATACCATAGCCTAGCTATTTCAAAACATATTTCTGCCAAATAACATACTCTCAATAAATAATATAAAACAGGCTTTGCCTGTAATATGTTTATAATTTTTTAAGTTAAGAAATAAAAAATCCTCTCTTTTTTTTTATGGAGAAAAGGGGCAAACGAGCTGGAGGCTCACCTGATGGTAAGTGATTACCGCCGCCCATGAACACCTGCAACACCCGAGGGCTCACAAATGCGTTGCCGGCCTTTTAGAAAAGAGTATGCTCTCTTCTTGAAAGTTCCCAGGTCGTAACGGTTCGGAAAGACCGCCAGCGGCAGCTGGTTCCACAGAGTGGTTGTGCGAGGCAAGAAATGCCCTGAAAATCGCGCTGTTGTGGAACGCTGGACATCGAGGTGGTGTGGATGAAATTTTTGGCGCGATGTCCGATAGTGGAATTCAGCCGCCGGGATCAATCCAAACAATTCCTCAGAACAATTCCTCAGAACACTCCCCGTGATAAATGCGGTAGAAGATGCAGAGTGATCCAACATCTCTACGCAGAGCCAAAGGATCTCTCCGAATTTCCTAGTCATGTAATAAAATCGCTAAAAGATTTTAAAAACATTTTTTTATCGTCATCATCTTAACATCAACCTGTTTGAAACCTCTGCTGAACATAGGCCTCCCCCACAAACCGTCACGAAGACTTTTATGTGTAATATTTTAAGAAATTCACTGACAGAAGTTTCTGTTCCGGGTTTTTGGAGGAAACTAAATAAATTAGCATTATTATTATTATTAAAACTTGATATTTTGAACATGAACTTGAAACTGGGCTCAAGTGATATGACTCGAATTTAATTCACCCTCTCAACTGCAAAGTAGATTCGACTGAGACCGGATGCAATTACACTTCTTCTATCATTGCTATGAACTGCGCTTTTATTCAGGGTATGCATTTATTAAGGATAGGGATAAAACGGTCTACTAGATGATGGAAGTTGTGAACTAAGGACGGTAAACATTTCGACCGTAACTTAACTTTAGCAGTAAGGGTGTCTGTACGCGTGGCTCAGGTTTTTGCTTACCGTCCCGCGTGGTGAACTATACCCGTAATACAGAGACGATGCTTTTCCTGCAGTGGGAAGGTTATTAGCCCTAGGAATTTGATTTACTTCATTTTACTATGAGAATCGTTCAAGGTACAGGTCAGCACACATCGGCATCGCACGAACAAGTAGTCTTAGAAAAAGGAGGAAAAGGCTGACGCACACAAAAAGCAACTATTAAACGTACGGACGGCAAACAAAGACAAAATATCACTTGGTCGAGTGTGCAAACACTAGTGGTGCGCCGCGGCCGCGTTCGCCGTGCCCAATAAGTGATCAAATATTGCCCGATCGCCCTGTCCCGTGACCGGCTGTCCCTTTCGTTCGGCTTACGTGCGAGCGAGAGGCCGCCACAAGTTTAGAGCGCGCGAGATGCGACAAAGCTGCCGACTAACAAAATACTAGCATGGTGGCAATCCAGGGACGGACTGAGGCGCAGTGAAAATGTGGATACTGTGGAAAGCGTATCATACAAACTCTTTAACACTTTTTAATTTTAATTTTAATCTAGACATTTATGATTTTAGAAATCCCATCAAGATATTGAACCAGATTTAAGAAACTACAAATCTGAACTAGAAATAGCGTTTAAGTATATAATTGGCGAAAATAATCGAAGGTAAAGTGACTAACTGATGAGTCTTATTTTCTTAATGATACATGTGCCTTTTAACTTTATTTGGTGTCATATGAACATTTGGCGTATTAATTTTTAAAATCATATATTTAATTCTTATGCTATATATACCAAAGCTAGCCAGCCGCACTAAGTGGTTTAGATGACCTAATTTAATATATACTATGTTAATAATATTAAGACATACCAATGTTTCTATTTACATAGCGTCATAATACGGCATACTATTAATACAAAAACATACATCTTTTAATTGTAACGGGGTAAATAGGTAAATTAGAAAACTGCAGTGAAATCCGTTGCGTAGTTTTAAATATCTAAGCATATATAGGGACAGACAGACAGCGGGACGACTTTGTTTTGTACTATGTAATGATTATAAATAAAAATAATAATAGAAAAGCGTCAGTCATGCAGCGAGTACGTCCGGACACATCAGTCGTCGGCGTCTGCCACCAGAGGGCGCGTTGGTGACTGTCCACTGGTGACTCTTGCTCCTAAATACAGCCTCGCTCCCTGCAATCCGTCGAAGAGAGCATGAATCCTGCAAGTTTTTAAAAGCGTCTGTTATTTAAAACAAATTTAAATGCCTGAAGATCAGTTAAATAGTTATAGATTAATTTAACAAAAACAATGCACCCCATCCTCTCATTGGAATTTTTGGCCTCTGTTCATTTCCGAAATTTTAAACCGCTCAAGCTGTAGTTTTTCAAGTGAGAGTGCTTTTCGTGTCGTGTTAACGACTTTCTTTGAAGTCCATATTTGGTGTAACTTAGTCTTTTGGCCGTCTAAGCGCACTTATAAGGGCTTGGAACTTCAAGTGAATATAACTACTATAAATAGATAGCGCAAAATTGTACTAGGGTGAAAATCGTCACTTTTTAATGTGGTGGTTATTACATCGCTAAATTGATAACCGCCCAGGGACATCTACAACACCTGAGAAGTGACCACGTGACACACGTTGTTAAACCTTTTTTTTATTATGTGAAAAGTTGCCACGCGAGGACAGACGGTTCACCTGATGTTAAGTGAATACCTCCGCCCATGGACATCTGCTACACCTGAAGGTTGTAGATGCGTTGACAACCTTTGAAAATTGGGCACCGGCCACCTCACTCACCAGACGAAACGAGAAACTATTATACTTACACTTTACGCCGGTCTTCTGTTAGGTTGTGGTACTTACCCGGACGAGCCTGCCCATTCATGCAACAGCCGAGGCTGCTACGTGGCCCTACCACCGAAATAACTAAAAATACTTAAAGAGGTTCGCAAAAATTCTTATAATTTGTTTTATTTACCAATGAGTAGTGACACCTACTGAATTATTCACAATTTCACAGTATATTGTTAGTGGTAGCCGGATGAGACACGATATTTATTTATCAAGGACAAATCATTCAGACAGATAGTAACTTGGGCCTTTTTGAACATCGTTTTAACTTTAATAGGGCAGACAGAGGCAGGCGGCAGTAAGCCTCAAATGTGATACACCGTAAGCATAGTCGATGTGAGTCAGCTAAAGTTAAGTGAACACTACCGTCCATTGACACTTGCAACACCAGAGGTCACAAATGCAATGCCAGTCTTTGAGGTAGAGACAGGATATCTTTTTGAAGGGCCCGAAGTGAGTCCGTGATAGAAAATGCAAAGAGACGCCTTGGCAAGGTGAAAGGGTCGAGGTGATAGGAGAGGGCCCGATCATCGAAGATTCGGGCACTGAGGAGCACCAGTCCGGACCTGAGAACAACGATAATGCTAACAAAGGAAAAGTCATGCATGACTCTGGTATACGAAGTTGTGACATTAACGTGGCTACGTCCACTAGGCCACTGGGGTGCAACGGGATAATGGAAAGGTCGCGGCACCTCCTCAGGGAATCGCTCGTCCATAGAAATGCAAATTGTGCCGATGCCGTGCTGCGAACGAGCCCCGCGATACGAACCCTTCCCTCCGATCATCGCGGCTGTGTTTTATTACTTTTTTATTTCTCCTTAACGCGCTGGGGAGGTCAGCTGACGGCTGTTAGGGCTGCGACCGCTGACATACATCATCATTACAGTTTCAGCGAGAAAAGTGGTTTCGTAAAAGGGATTATACCTCCGTTTTACATAATGTGGTTTTTGTTTTGTTATTGTCAATGGATATGAAATAATGACCATGAAAAGATAATTTATTTTTATAGGTTGGCCTTTTTGTATGGACCTACAATTGACATTGTACGAGTGTTAAATAATTTACTGCGACCTAATGTTTGTACATAATTACCCGTAATACCATACCATTACCACATAATTACTTAGCATTGTAAACTTCTGTTATGTTATTAATATCCTTTATGTTAGACTTAAAAATACAGGATATCGAGGACAGTAGTAACAGCGGAATGACTTATGCCCGTGGTTACATGTGTACGATATGTAAGTACATACGGATGTTCGCAAGAAATGACAAACAAACATATATTTTAAATGTGGCAACCCTACGTGTGTCGGAGGAGACCGTGAGGGCTTTGGGGTGTGCGTCGCTCGCAGCCCGCAACATAAACCAAGAAGTTATTCTTAAACCTTTTATTTACAAATTATCGCAGAATATTTTGGAAATACGGCCATTGAAATGTATTCCTGCCTTTTATTGCTTTGTGTAGGGTGAGTGAAGTGGCGAGGTCATTATTTAAACTAAAAAAAAAACTCCGAGGTAAACAATCTGCTTGGACATAATATACTTCTCTTACAGAATATTGTTAATTTTCAATTGATCATTCAGTCAGTTTGAAGTATAATTTGAAAATGTTTAACAAGAATGTTAAAATAAGTTGATGACCTCTTTGGCTCGAAATACTAGTTTATCATGCAAGTTAAGAAACAAAAGTGATTGACCTAGACAAAAGGTGGATGAGTCAGTGAATTCCTTGGTCTTTTCAAAAATATTTCTCTACTGTTTACAGTGGCAATAATAGTGCCCCATTGCACGTCCTCCAGGTGAGACCGCTTAACAGTAGACATTGGATTGGATTCACATATTTTTGAAATATATATAATTTTGTTATTTCGAAAATATGCGGGTTTCTTCTCAATGTTTTCCCTCATCACTGAACACGTAATAATCAGCACTTAAAATTAACAACCTCTGGTGCCGGCACCGGGATCGAACTCAGGTTGCTCGTGTACATTGAATTAAAGGTGTGGGTCCGGACACTTAGCTCTAACGGCCCCAATAGCTATCCGTCAATGGAAATTCGATTCATTTTCGACATAAACGGCGATACAAGACCTCCTTTACTTTTAACCATTGGTATAAAATACGTCCTACACTTCTCCGCGCCCTTATTTTAGACTTATTGTCCATAATATCGCAAGTAGGAAACTTGTATCATCCATATTGTGCCCAAGATACGGAGGATTCGTAAATACAGTGATCACGGAATTGACTGAATGGTTTATAATTTTTTTGTAGGAAATCCCTGGTTTTCACAGTCACTATGATAAATTTTTGTTTAGAGCACGTAGATGTTTTATGGGACACCTCTAGAAACACACGGAAGGTGCAATAAAATTATCTGTACATTTACAGGAGATTTGTGTGTTTAGGAAAGCTCTATCGAATAACGATGTTATGACGTTGAATTGGAAGTTATGGGACCGGGTAGAGAAGAGCAGGGCTGGTGAGGAGTTGGTCGCGTGTGTCGCCTCGGCGTTCGCGGCGCGCACGGCGGGCGTGGCTCAACTCAACCGCGCACAAAGGGAATCGAAACCGTACAAAGGCGAAAATAATTAAAAAAGAAAACGTTGAAATAACAGAGTCGAGCGGAAATCACAGAATTGGATTTCAAAGGTGGGGCCTAGAAGGAGACGGTGGTCTCCCGCGCCTTCACGCCAGAGAGAGACGGGGATACGTTTCAGACGACAAAGACCAAGTAATTGTAGACAATGGAAGCTGAAAAAGACGTTTCCTTTAACAAGATTCCTATCTAGAGAGTGTTTTGCCTGAGGACTTTACGACAAAGTTACGCCGGCACATTCCGCTCTAGCGTTAAATCTTCGGCACCAGACAATTAGGTTCAGAATTGCACGGAGAGCATTCACCCGGCTGCGCGTGAAAGCTTGGCGAGTGGAAGAGACTTTGTGAACGCACGCGAAGCGTGAAACAAGATTTGTCAAAGTATAATTCGCATCCAGCATAAGCTGATCCATTGGCACGCGTGTGTCATATGTGCAGCGAAGTTACGAGCCGGCTGGCCCGACATGCGCGACCCGATAAGGACATTTGGAATTAAACTTGTACTCCAAGTGATGATCAAAGCGACGAAACAGTGCGTTTCGTAAATAAGAACTTCCACACACCAAGCGCTGCTCAGCTACAGTCGCACAATTCACAGAAAGTATCTATAAGTCGCCATGTTCGTTGATTTCATTTTAGACAACATCATTTCACTACAAGTATTGTCATTACATAAAACTGATAGTAACTATACTAATGTATGTAAAGACTCGCTGCCCGCGGGGTATAAATCGGCCCAAAAGCATCAAGTAGTACTATGTCATGCCTGTCATTTGTAGAACTTATTTATATGAAACATTGGAGCAATTATGTATTTTGATGGACGATACTATAGAAAAGTAATAGCAAAGCATTATTACGCATTCTAAAGACCAAAAATTGTTATAAATAATTACATCTTGTTGACATTATTGATATATCTGCGGTCTTGATATAATCTGGAATACTTTTTGTAATATTCATATCAATTTATCATTGATACAGAGTCATCATCATTGATTCCTTCATGGGGCAGTTGCTGACGAATTGGCTTCGCAGCAAGGGGTTGTGGGTTCGATTTCGAGTATCTTTGGTGTGATCTACTGATAATTGTTTCGAATCTGGTTGTTTGTCCACGTGAAATTAATTATGTATCTAAAATAATCGTCTTTACAACACAGAACAAAGATATGGTACAAAAATTCATTCTGTAGAAAGTTAAGTTTATTTTTTATATCAATATCAACACTGACAGACAAGACAATTTTGGGAGCAAAAAATTACAAGTTACTAGCTCACTAATTTATTTTCATTTTATGTCTATTTTCACCTAAAATTTGTTGTGAATTGTAAGAAACGATTCCAAAAGCATAAAGTATGACAGTATTTCTGAATATCGTTTTCAATAATTAAACATTACAATTGAGAATTATGTAATATGCAATGACAGTAGAAAACACCTATTGCCGTGTATAACTTTTGTCCTGTCTATTCATTTTTAGTATTACGTCTCTCGATCAATGTAAGTACGTAAGTAGGTACTATGCTTGCGCGTTTCACAATAACTTATTCATATATATTGTAATAAACAGCGACTCCTTAAAAGTAACAGAGAGATGAAATACAAGAAATCTACCAACTGTTCTAAAACTTAATATGAGTTGAAACTAGAATATTTCACACACAACATTTCTATAACTTTGACTTTGAATGCAGGTTGAGGCACTTTTAGCAAAATGTAATATGAATATAAATGTAATATACTTCACAAAGTTCACTTTCGTCCCAACTCGTGTGGCTTGTGCGGTGCCCAACCGCCTGTGGAAGCCGGCCGATATCTGTCCGTCGCTCGCAGAAGTGAGAATGGGCCGCCGATGTTGAATTAATTGCTTCGCGTGCACAAAGTTAATAATGTGACGGGATCGGCGTCGAACCCTTCCGTTGTCAGGGGCACGCGGCCCTTGAGCGGTCGGCGGCGAATTTAAAAACCATTCCCACCCCCTGCCCTGGAACCGCGGCTGGAAAGGCGCGTGCCGTCGCGGCTTCCTACATTAGCTGCTAGGATTAATTTGGATAAGGCCGTCCATCAATTTCGTTTCACGATGTTCTAATGTGCATGATGCAAATACTAGGAGCAATCATAAACTTATTCTACCCACAACTAGACAGCGTAGAATAAGTAAATCATTAAGGCGACAATACGTTTGTGCAACAAAATCCCAGAAAACTTTCAAAATGTATCAGTTGTTAAATTAAAAAAATAGTAAAGGAACGTGTGTGTGTTCAAGGCTGTCATATTATATTAGTGATTATTTAAAAAGATGATAACACACTGAAAACTAATGCATCGTTCCATGCTCGTACAAGTGCGCTATCATATAATTAGGTTCAACATATTTTGTTGTAAAATAAATGGCAAAAATTGACCCGCTGTGTTTCTTTCACCGGCTTATCTCAGGTCTTTTCTTTTCTAGACCGTTAGTAGTAATTGACAATCAATAAGTAAGTGTAATGCTCTCTTTATTAAATGTATAATCTTTATTGATTTAAGATATTTGAATCTAAATTTGACTTGCAGGAGTTGAATGTTTATGCTCCCTTTGTAGGTAATGCTATAAACTGCTCTACATTTTATAACTTTTTTAATACGTCTCTACCTAGAGGATTACTTAGATCTAAAGCAAAATATATTTAGTTACTTTATTTTGGAATGGGAATTATGTACAATGCAACATGAAACCAGTTTTGTGGGCTGTGGAGAATTTATGTAACTTACACACTTAATTAATTTTTTTATTGAAGTCGTTAAAAAAAATTACATAAATTAACAAAAACTTTCAAATCTGTGATTTTTGAGTAACGCCCCCAGACGCTTAGCTCACTTAGTAAAGCGTCTGGTTGGAGTAAGTATAGTTACATTTTCTTCATTTGTCAACAAAATTGATAATTTTTATAATTGTATAAGGTTCATGTTTGGACTTGACCACATTTCCCATTTTCGTATTCAGCAAATTTTTTTAAATTTGTTGCAGATTTGCGATTTGATCCCATCGTTCCCAACTGTCTCAAACAAAAACTTTCCTTCCAATCTGATGCTTACTCTCGCAACCTTTGCTCTGATCACAATCCTTCAAATTTCTCTTTATCGTTCCTGCTTAATGTACAACTCTTTTCAAGGTCAAGCTGAACAGCTCTGGAACTCGCTACCCACCTCTATCAGAAATTGTCCGCCTAAAGAGACTTTAAACGTGCCGTCTTTAAATTCTATTTAGATTATCGACAGTTTTGAACACTGAGTTGCTTGAATTTCGACTGACCTGGCTCTTTCGCACCTCCTTATTCTCTCTGTTTATTTGTCGGTTGACTGGTAAACCCAATGGTGTTAAGTCCGCCATTGTACGTTATTGTGTATAAAGTTTTTAAATAAAAAATTTAAGTTATTATTTATATAAAAATTTAATAGATTTAAAAAATTGCTACTGATTAGGATACATTACAGCAAGCCTGATATGGGAAAGAATTATTAACATAGCGTTTCGTTCAGTGAGTGGGTTGGCTAGCGAAATATTCAAGTCAAGGTATATAACACACAAAGTAGGATTTACCAGCACCCTAAGTAGGCTGGAACCCAGGGCGGTAGATTTTAGGAGGCGGCAACGAGTATTAAAAAGTTTACGTAATGAAAGACTTTTAAAACTTGATTAATTTTATTATCATTATTAACCAGATTGTTAACAGATAATTTAATAGAGATACTGCTCGTATAACTTTTAAACTGTTAGTGAAATGTCGGAAATTTAAAATAAAAATAAATTATATTTGTAGTTTTATTAAAATAAAACGTAGGTACTTACTTAAAATCAAAATTATTTGTTTATTTATATACCGACATAAGTTTTGAAAGAACCCCTTTCAAAACCATGATATAAATGCCGACATTACTTTTTTTTTTTTTTTTTTATGGAGAAAAGGGGCAAACGAGCAGGAGGCTCACCTGATGGTAGGTGATTACCGCCGCCCATGGACACTTATAATATAATCTTTGATTAGACAAGACAAGTATATAATCAAAGAATATAATGTAGTTAAGAATTAAATTACATGTGTCTTGTATATCGAATCTGTCCTGGCGCGGCGGTAACCTAGACTTGTTTATTAAGAAAAAAAAATTAAAAATTTGTCCGTTTTTTAACTTAAATATAGTCAACTAATCTTAAAAAAAGTTAAATACTGATTACATTAAAAATCAAAACAAGCAAAACTGACATCTAGTGTTGATTAGTAGAACAAATTGAATTGGTTCTTTACGCCACCTATGAATGAATAGCTAAGTTATTATAGATTGAATGCCTTACAAATAGTTCTTAGTACACTTAATAGAGGCCGTTACTTGTATAAGTTTAAGCTTTATTAAATTTTATTTTATTATAAAGTATTTTTAAAAATATCTTACAAAGATAATTATGGAGTTAATGTATAACGTTAGCTCTGTTTTTAAATCTGCATACAGTGAGCTTCGTTTGTCTTATTTATACGAATGTTTACCACGTCCTATTGATTGATTGCTTGATTCATAGCAGCGCCCTCGTGTCGTTGACCTCGCTCGTCCGGCGCTTATCACCTGTCACGATCTAGATTGATCTCTGGCAAAGTTTCCCAGCAAACAATCAAAACACAAACAACACGAAATGAGAGATAAGAGTAGAAACAACAAACAACTATTACACCTAATTTCATATTACTGGCAGTCACTGTGAACACAGCTTGAAAAGTTACACGATAAGAATAACAGAAGATAAAAATTAGTTGACTGCTATTTAAGAAAATAACTAAAACACTTGAGTGTTTTCATTGAATGTTTTTAAACTAAACACAGTAATTCAATAAGGAATAGTGTTAAATGTAAATCTGCTGGTTTGCACAAATTTATTTGAACTATTAGTGAAAATGTCAAATTATGCCTAAAATTTTTTACCCGTCTTTTCATGAGACTAAAATGTACAATGCTCTATCATACTATAATAGGCAATTTTAACATACTCCAAAAGTGAATCTAAATCTATATTTGTGTTTGATGGGATTCATATTCGTTAAAAGTGATCCAATTTATTAAGAACAATCAAACTTGATTTGTCCTTATTTTGAATGTTCGAAAGTATGAATCACTTTTAACAAGCAAAAGGTCGTCTTTTTTTAGATTTGAAAAGGGTTATTGAAGAATGGATAAGGAGGACGGATTTCAATGTTTTTAAGATAAACGAGATATGGAAGAATGAAAATACTTATTCGATAACAGACAGCGTTAGTAAGTGCGATGACATAGGAAATGATAAAACTAAGTCAATAACTTCGATGAAATTGTTTGCTTCTCGGTAGAAATATCTCGCCGTCTTTTTGCTTCAAACTTTATCATTTTCTTAATTAAAGTATATTCTCATTTTGTATGTATAATTGACATTGGCAGCTTTTTTATTAAAAATAAGAAAATTATGTTTTAGCATTCAATTTATAGAGCTGCAAAAAAAATTCATATGATTTTGGATGACTTGTTGATTGTTGATTCCTTCAGCTGGAAAGATCGCGTATCGCGTGGCGGTTAACTAACCAGTCAAGTAAAATGTCCTTAAGACACAAATTACTTTTATACAAAGTTTGCGTATGCGTGTCCTACGCATGCATGATTTTCGCCCATTCAAACCCTACTCGCATTAACAAGTTGCAAGTAGTGCAAAATAAGTTCATCCGCCGCGCAACCGGTGGTATCAACGCAACGTCGACCTGCACAGCGATTGCAGACTCCCGACGATTCGCAAATTTTTCAAAGACCTGACCAAACGGTTCTTCAATAGAGCCGAACATCATCCCAACCCTCCGGTGGTAAGCGCAACAAATTACCAACCCGATCCAAACGTGAACGTCATCAAGCGTCGCCCGTGAAACGTCCTCATTGACCCTGTCGAGGAAGGGGACTTAGGTACGTCGGACCCACCGTCGGGGGTTCCGCCGGATAACACTACTCACAGTTAGTGTAGCAACAAACACATTAGTTCGCCCTCGCCTCCAATTAGCTAAAAACACAGTCGACGGCCATCGGTCCGCACCGCAACCTCGATGGCCCTTAGATGACATGCCGTAGTTAAACACACGCATGAGCACATGCGTGGCGCTACCCGCAGCGGAGGGTCGAAACACGTGGGTTCTGACTAGCCCACCGGTTCTGCGTCAGATGAAGCTTTAATAGTCTCGGGACTGAAAGCACAAACATCAGTTAATACAAGATACAAGATTGTTGATTAACAGTTATTTAACAGTTATATTAACAGTTATTTGTTGCAGGAAGACCTGTTAGAACTTACAGTTGCAAAAGTTTATTACAAGATTCATGTGTTCGTTAAACACACTTAAATAAACTTTTGAAACAAACTCTTGATTTGAATGACATTCAGAAATTCATATCTCATAAGCTAAATTACCATCACGACTAATGTGCTATTATTGTAAATAATAAACCACTCGTGAGAAATAAAACTAGTTGTTACTTAATAAAATGAAGTTTTTAAATACCCAGTACTGCAAATTGTCTGCAAATATAACAGGTTACACAGAAAAATCCAGAATTCCCCTAAAGTTGTTTAAATAGATCGCTCGTATAAATAGTATGATATTATATGTTACATGTATTAGTAATATATAATACAAGCTGAAAAGAGTATTAATTTGTTTACATTATTGCTTAAAAAAACTAAAATTCAAAGTTATAAAAAATAACAAAATACAAAATTAGACAAAAGATCTGTTATAATTTTTTTGGATTACCCACACCCATCAGTGCAGCGTGCAAGTCGCTACACGGACGGTACACAGAATGTGCACGGGTTGTTACTATGGTTCAAGAAGAAACAGGTCATCGTAGTACTGTTAGAACGGTAGAAGTATTGTCTTTTACGGTGCAAACAACACTTCAGCAATTTCAGAGATCGACATGAATATTAAAAGATCAGGAAACGGCAGGACAATATACGAGTTTACAAATATACGAGACGATCGATCCTAGATAAGTGTTATTTTAATGTTATGCTGAAATTTATATCCCAAGACAGTTCAGGTAATAAAAGTGGCTCCACAACAATATGCGCTCTGACACGACGCCAAGATGACTTTGTGGGGTTGATAATACATTATAAACAAGTAAATGAACGCAAACTTCTCAGGAATCATCGAATTGCCATGTTACGGTTTGCTCGAGAATACGTCCAATGGCCAAAAGAAAATGAATCCAGAGTTATGTTTTGAGATGAGTCCAGTTCCATGACTCCAGATCCAGATCTTGTTCATTTACACACGATGGAAGTTGAAGAGTAGTATATAGACAACCAGTAGAACGGAATAAATATAAAAAAGCGTGTTTTAAAGAAAAGGCGCCATTCGGTGGAGGATCAATAATGTTGTTGGTTTGAATATCTTCAGAGTCTTACGCAGTTAGCGGTAATAGAAAAGGGTTCCCTGATGGCTCTCCGATTTGCAGATGAGAGTTTAAAACATTCGGGTCTTTTCAGTGGAAATGGGAGTAAATATCAACTCTAGCTATCTTACACGAGTTGAAGAATGCGTAAGTGGAAGAATGGTTAAACATAGAGCAAAAACGTAAATAAATTAATATACAGCATGCGAAATGGTTTTAATGAAATTATACAGGCTTGTTTATTAAATACAAAGTATGTTTAATACATACTCAACTGTTAAAAATAACAAAAAACTGTTAAATGTTAACAAAAAATTTAATTGTTCGCAAAACGCTTACGTATTGTCTTTTATGTATTAATGAGGCATCTACAACATTCATGGATCAATTTAACATATTAAATACTGTGATAGTTAGTTTTAAGCAACCCTTAATCTTTGCGGCCGAGTGTAAAAATTGTATTACAAAAAAGTTAAAAATATTCCAAATACGTTTTAGGGCGGTGGCACCAGACGACGTACCTGCGAAGTGTACAATCACGACCATCATCTGGTGATACAGTTGATCAATTAAGTATGGTATCGAACCGTCTAAATATTATGAGTCATTTACTAACGTACAGAGAATTGTATATACACAAATGAAGGAAAAAAGTGTATTATTTAGGTATTTTTTGTAATTTAAAGATAGATTACAATTTCGTGTAAATTAAACGTAAAATAACAGATTTATAAATGTGAAGGGATAACAATCGGGCACGTAGTTCACGGGCTGCCTATGGATTTTTCCCTGAGATGGATATATTCAACATACTGGAATGCTGCTGCGTGGAAAACCATTTAGATTCCGGTTACCTCACTCATTGGATGAAATAAAAAATTTACAAATAACTTTACGTTTCGGTCTATCGGAAGTCGTGCTTCTGTTCCGGACAAGCCGGACACTGTATGTGCCATACACGCGACGGTGGACAAATATTGTGCTTAAAGTGCATTTAATTATTTTCAAGTCGTTGCTTGATCCCTACTTTAATTATCGTTATATAAATTCTATTTGAATAAAATGAATATGTTTATAATAATTTTAGAAAGCATGTAATAAAGAATAGAATATAAAGGCAATAGAGTTTGCATGCCATCGCCTTTACGTAATATAATCTCATCTCTTTTATCAGCCAGCAAGTTGCTCAAGTTATTTGTACCGCGGCGTGTGACAAACAGACACACAGTCGAACGGAGGCGCTCAAACGGTCACCTGTCTAGGTGAGACTGATACGCATTTCTGTGAAATTTTATTGTTTGTTGTGAAAATTAACGAGTGTTCGCTTTTATTTAAAACGCTACACGCATCTAGGACACAAAATACATACGGTATGATTTAATAAAAATATATTTGTTATTTTAAACCGGACTAATAATGATACTTATATTATACTACGGATTTAAACTTGTAACATGATATATTATTTTTTATCGATGTTTTTTCCTAAAGATTGGTCATTTAATGTAAAATATTTATTCATTTTTATGAGATGTAACTCACATTAGGTTCAATAGTTAATATCCTGGACATTTAGGTATTTCCCAAAAAAAATCACACGGTTCGTTATTATTGGACGATTTACGTTCCTTCGTCATGTGATAGCTTCTTCGTTATGTCTACGGTAGATGGCGCCACTTCGTATCGTGTAGTGAGCGCGGTTTTAATTGCCTAGCCCTAAACTTTTTTGTACTGAAATATCTACATTTAAAAGAAAGTGCAGAAATTGCAATTCGTCAGCATTTTTTTGTTAAAAAAGATCAATAATATCTCGCAATGGGAGAGCAACAAGTAAATCTATTTGATAACATATTGTATCTTAAAGATTATAACGGCACTTATTAAAGATTATTAATAAGTGCCGTTAAAGTTAGGTAAAGTATAAGCCGAGAGGTCCCTGTTGCCTTGAAAACCTTAAGAAGTTGCGACCGACTACCTTACTCAATGCACAAAGAGGACAAAGGAGTACCATTGGTCTTAAAGAATTGCAGTAATGTTTTAAATGCCTTCTTAATTATTATTATTTAATTTGATCATAATAAATTGATGTGTAGCAGAAAATTATAAAGAAGAGAAAGTGAAATGGCTGATCGCAAAGCGAGCTTGGTGCTGGAGCCTGGCGCGATGATCAGGCCGGTGATCGACCACGAGGGGGTGAAGCTGCTGGTGGAGCGGCTGTACGGCATCTCGGTGCTGGAGCTGACGGAGCTGGCCGGCTACGACGACAAGAACTACCGCATCACCGAGGACCCCAACGTGAAGAACCCACTCATCGTGAACCACAGCCCCCACGGCTACGTGCTCAAGATCATGAACTCGATGGATTCGCAGAACTTGAGCGTGGTGGAGGCGCAGAACGAGATCATGAATTTCCTGAGTGAGTACCCAGAGTTTTGTTTGAATTTATATGATGTATCCTTGGCAATCTTTAAGGAAATTTGGTTCCTCTTTGTTATATATTTTTTTCTGTTTTGGCTAATGTTAAAATTTTCAATATTATCACTGATTTAAGAGCACATTTAGAAAAGTTGTAGATACATGCTATGTTAACGAAAATACGAGTTTCTAGCTTATTATTTTTCCTTCTCGGTTAGTAATAGTATTTTTACTATATCATTGAAAATGAGATGTGAATAATTAAATACCTAAATGCGAATATATTTGTAAAATTTGTATTACCTTTTCGCTTTGAAAAGCTGTACTGATATCGAATATTTTTATTAGTGTCTTTAACATATTATTTCTTCCGTTAAGTATAAGACGCACACATATATATATAAAAGATTAACCATTGTCTATATGTAGATTCCATTTATTTGAACAATTAAAAGATTCCCTGCCTTTGGTCAGAAGTAAGATAGAGATATATGGTGCACGGCTCATGATGATTCTGTTTGCAGTTACGCGGTCGGTGCGTTGCCCTCGGCCGGTGCGAAACATTTTCGGTCACTTGCACTCCGTGGAGACCCTGAGCGGGCGCCAGCACGCCGTACGCCTCTTGGAGTACGTGCCTGGCGAACTGCTCAAGGACGTGCCGAGCTCAGACGCCCTCTTCTACCAGCTGGGCGAGTTCATCGCCAACTTGGACAACAAGCTGCAGGTAATAACAACGAGGTCACCTCCTTACACCATTTATGAGGTGCCTCGACTCTCAGATGGAGTCATCTTCCAGTCAATTCGCCAAAGTGCAGAAGACCGTGGGCCTCCATACCGTTCGCATCATCTGTCGGTTTCTTTGTATTATAACCTAACTGAATATATCATACTTACTTTATATTTCATATATTAAAGTAGAAATTTATGTGTCAGCCGATGAGAAGAGTTAAAAATATCAAAAATTTACTCATTTTTCTTTGTAAGGTAAGGTAAATGAGGTTATAAGTACTTATAAGACCTTTTTTGGAAAAAAAAGCAGGAAAGTGATTAATTCATGAACATCTTCTGTCAGATTTCATACTCCTCACTCTGGTTAGGATTAAGCAGAATGTATTATAGTAATAAAATAAAAACTTAAAAACATGATTTATTTTCTCGGTGTTAGGGGCAATTATCACAAAACTAATAGTAATTGTCAAGTAAATAAAAAAAATAAAGAAATTTCGAGGACGCCGTTATGTACGACACATTGAAACCGTTGTTACTTTATATTCTCGACCTCCTTTCCTACCGTCACGCGCTTATGTTCCGAGTATCTATGTTTTAAGTGCGTTGTTTTTTTAAGAGCGTTGTTAAAATTTATTTGTATGAAATATTCTTTTCTATCTAATAGTTATAAAGAATCAAATTTGAAATAACAAGAGGATTTTGAATCTTCCGCGTTACTGGAATTCGAATTTATTCCAGTCGGTAACGAGCTTCAGAAGTAGACGGATTAAGGCGATATTTACATATTTTTAATATAAAAAAAATAACTGATTCATGAGAACCACAACCAGCGGTGTTGAAGTTTTCTAAAACTTCGCGAATTTAAGAATAAATTGATCACGATAAAAGTGACATAATAATAGTTTTATTCACAAATCTGAGGTCACTCCACACGCACTGGTCGCAAATAGCTGCGTGGAACCAATAACCTGTCACACTGATTAGCGCAACAATAGAGCCACGACGAGCTGAGCAGCGACACTCAAGGCGACGAAGGCCCATAAAAATATATCGTTACGGCATGCAATAACGACGAATAATCCTTTAGGATTTTAATTTGTTTAATAAGGTTTTCTTTGACAATGTATTTAAAATAAAATTGACTTCCACAATCCTGAATAAGATAAGTTGCTAACCAAAAATAATATGTGCCATAAAGATTTCTTGTATTAGCGAAACTAACATAAAAAATACTTTTATTTATCAATTACATGAAAGTAATTTACGGATTATTTAAAAGCGAAAATTAATCTTCCTGCCGTAAATTTTGCCGTAAATTACATCAAAAGGGAATAATATTTTACTAAAATAAAAAACTGGTCAAGCGCGTGTCGAACTTATATGCCGAGGGTTCAGTACCTATCCATTAAGCCGACATAATAAAATTGGTAAATAAGCACCACCGATTTTCTCAAGAAACGAGTGTGCCTAACAAGTTGAAATTTATACCAGATACTTACATAGTAAAGTAAAAGTAAAACTAAAATATACTTTATTGTACACCAATAGAAATACAGGATTTATAACTAAACACACATGGGTACAACAGGCGGCCTTATCGCAAAAACAGCGATCATTTCCAGGCAACCTTAGGGCAGAGGATTCATTCAAAGAAGAAAGCGGTAGGGTGTACTAAATAAAAAATAAGAAAAGTAAATACACAGAAAAAAGAAAAAAAAAAAAAAAATATATATATATATATATATATATATATATATATATATATATATATATATATTGTTGAACAAAGAGTGTGAAATGGAATGATCGTTCAAAACTACTAGGGATCACCCTATGTGTATATGTATCAACATATTTATTTAAATATATATAAATTAAAAATGCTGACTTTTTCAGAACTTCAACCACTCCGGCCTGGCCGGGCGCGAGCACATCTGGATGCTGACAAAAGTCCCGGACCTCGAAAAGTTCAAGTATGTCATCAAAGATGCTGAGAAACTGGATCTTGCTGAAGAGGTTAGTCCATTCTATTAACCTAGATTTTCATTTCTCAAAAGCTACGATAATTTTCAAACAAGTTCGAGCAAAACTAGTTAGAAAATAAGTAACTTTAACGAAAACATGACGATATTTCTGGATATCAGCTAAGTCAATGGCATCGGATCGTTCAGCAAAATCAGCCTTTTGACCATCTACTAATTTTTAATGCTACTAACTCGAAATTGTCATCTACTAGGTTATCGAGGAGTTCAAGTACGCAGTAGTGCCTCGCCTCGATGAGCTAGAAAAGGGGGTCATTCATGGAGACGTGAACGAGATGAACATCATCGTAGAGCGCAAGCCTGGAGGAAGGTAGGCCACAATGTTTGTTAAGTTTCCCTTATGTTTAAAATTTTATGAAGACATAATATATAATGTATGTAGACAGTACTAAAATTTTAAAATTGTCATGAATTATTTATAGTCTCTTCCACTTCAAAGGGATTAAATTCTAGCTGCTTAAAATAGAAAAC